CTTCTTTTTTTTTATGACAGTCTTTCATAAATGGATGTATCAAGTTTGTCCACTGAAGGACAAATGGTTTCCAATTCTAGGTTATCAAAAGCATCATTGCCATGAACATGAAAGTACAGGATTTTGTATGAGCCTTCATTTTTATTTCTATATTAAAATTACCTAGAATATTTAATCACTGGATCAGTTTTCAAGAAACCCTTTTTCAGGTTGCGTGAGATCTAATTTCTCTACCATCTTGTTAGTTCTGGTATTGTCAGTATTTTTAAATTTAGCCATTCTGATTGGTGAGTAATGGTATCTCCTTTCAATCTTTTTCTTGAAGGCTAATATATTGAAGATCTGTTCATATACTTGTCATCATTAAGTGACTGTTCATTTGCCCATTTGGTAAGAGGGTTTTCACACTTTTGAATTTAGAATGTACTTTGCTATCTTTTGAACACATGCCCCTTTGATGTCATTTGTAAATATTCTTTCTTACTCTATATCTGTCTTTTCATCTTTTTAACATCTACCGAGCAAAAGTTTTAAATTTTCAAAGTCCAATTCATTCTTTCCTTTTTGTGAAAATTGCTTTTGGTGTGATGTCTAAGAATTCTTCACCTAGCCCTAAGTCATTAGAAATGTAAAATTTACAAGTCTTATACCTTTATATTTTGCATTCAGATGTATTTTCTATTTTGAGCTAATATTTAAATATTAGTAAGTTATGAGATTTAGATTTTCTTAATGAAAAAAAAATTCTATACTTCATTAAAATTAAATTGTCTGTCAAAAGTCAGTGGTCCTGCCTACATGTCAGTTTATGTGCTCTTATTTTTGCTGTTGTTCTGGGTCTGTCCCTCCTTCAATACCACACTCTTCATTACTGCAACCCTTAAGTCTTTAAACCAGGCTTTGGAATCCCTCCATCTTCATGCTTTACTTTCAATATTGTTTTAGCTCTTCTAGTTCTTTGCCTTTCAAAATAAATCTTAGAATTAAATTACTTTTACCCCCCAAAAAGAAAAAAAAAACCTGTTGGGATTTTGCTTAGTGCTTCACTCCTGTCACCAATAATGACAACCTAAGAATAACGTGGTAGGGAAGTGGGTGTGGTGGAATAGAAGGAAAACAGGTGGCAGGACACCCAGATAGGTTTCAAACTTTTGGGTTTCAGGCTCCTTAGATGGATTTTGCAGTCAATCTATCAGTTACCTAGTAAATCAGGCATTCAGGGTACACCTAGAGGACTAAAGTGTGGGCTAGTATCACTAGGAATATTAAAATTTCTTCCAGGAGTGCTGGTCTTCATGGGTTGGTTAACCCTCAGTGGGGCTCAGGTGTTGGCGTCACCCCCCCCCACCCCCCAGCCCCTCCAGATGAAGACCCGCCCCACTCTTGCCAGCCTGGCTTAAGAGCCCACTTAAGGTTGCCTGAGGACTCTGCCCCTATCCCAATAACCCTTAGGCTGTCTGCCTAGGAGGTACAGTTTGACCCTCCAGGCCCTTCTGTAATGTCTAGGTTTAATCAGTTAAGACATTAGCTCTGAGAATGGTTTGATTAATGCTATATGTGCAACTGCACTCAGGAGGGCACCATAATGGGAAGCAAGCGTGTATATCCAAGTTCATGAACACAGCCTAGTCGTTAAATATAAGCACAGTTCCTGCTGTGAGTTTGGGACCTGTGAAGTCTATTGGGAAGAGCTGTAGGTGACAAGCGAGGTGAGCAAATACAGAGGGAGGTGTGGAAACTGGATGGGGAAAGCTGAAGTGCTGCTGGAGAGCAGGCAGAAACCAGATGGGACACAGGTTTTCTGTGCCAGGGTTAAGGAATCTGGTGTGATTCTATGGGAAATCAGAAACCGAAGCCATTCCCAAAGATCTGAAACATTAACTTTTTTGAATACAGCCCAATATCGCTCCTCAGGTCAGATTATGAACTAGAAAGCCAAAGTCTTTTAACATTTTAGTGGGAAAAAAAATAGAAATAAAAACTTGTGTAATGATGACAATAGTTAGCCTCAGTAATTACCAAAATACCGTCAGTTCCTACCCTCACATTACTGTGTGCCTTGAGAGAAAAACTCAATGTTGAAATATAGATAGCAATCTCTCTGTACTTCATTTCCCAACTGCTAACAATCTTTCTTCTGCCCGCACCTGCCTGCATAAGGTTCCATCAGCTCCCAGTGGCTGCATCTTACTATTTATAAACACAGTAACACATAAACAAAATACAACATCAATTCTGACCTTGGGATAACTTGAAAACACAAGTGGAGAGAAGTATTTATCATACTGAAATTTAACTACAGGTTAAATTTCAGTCCTCCATACAGGTATTATGCACTTACTTACTGCACTCTTTTTATTCCATGGTGGAGGGGAAACTTGTTTTCTAGGTTAATATCCAATTTACTTCAGAAAATTCTGAATTAACTCTGTTCTCCCAAACTGCCATAAAGCATATAACTCATCTTTGTAATGAGGAAAGAGACACCAAACACACATTTCTGATGTGAAAATTTATTGCTACTGTCTTTTCACCATTGAAACTTATGATCTTGGTCTTTCCTTCTTGCCTTTGTATAAGGCCAAAAGAGAGACATTGGCTACTTTGACGACCTTAAAACGGACTCCAGGAATGTCACCAACAGCATGACCTTTGCGACCAAATCCAGCCACCAGAACTTCATCATTTTCCTGGAATAAAATCAACAATTTATTCCTGCTAGCAGCGGTAATCATTAAAAAATACCCACTGACCAGATTACCAAACTGGGGAAAATTATCCCAAGAACAGGAGCTCTAACAGACTTAAGCACTCACCTCGATAAAATTCAAACAACCATCGTTGGGTACAAAGGCTGTGATTTTTTTCCCGTTTTTGATCAACTGGACTCGGACACACTTCCGGATGGCAGAATTTGGCTGTTTAGCTTCAACTCCCCTGTTATGAACAGAAGAGCTAAGTGAGCTGGCGTTCTGATACAGCATTCATCTAGTTCATTAAGCACTGATGGAAGTTATGAAATTCTGTCTTTACCTTTCTAAGTTAATCATAATTACTAACCCCCTGGGATTTTAAGAAGCATCCCCTCAGTTTCATTACTATGACTAGACCATTTAGTAAAATCAAAACGAAGGCATTCAGGCAAATCCATGAGGCTCAATCTTGGCTAACCTAGGCAAGAAATTTCTTTAATAGAATTCTCTCATAGAAAATTGTGATTGTAAGTGGTCTATGAGTAATACCATCTGTTTCGAACAGATCCCACACCATGAAAGCTCTCAGAACGTCCATAATTTCATTGTTACTTTACTTCCTTTCAATACCACCTCTATTTTCCAGGCATATATTAAAACCCTGCCACACCTCTCATGTATGAGGATACAAAGCCCTGATACAAAACCCTGATATTTATACCTCTCTCCCCCAACCTTGGGAGAGATGGACCTTTCACTTACACTTTTTCCAGCACAATTCCCTTTGCATGGGAAGCGCCTCCAAAAGGATTGGCCTTCAGGGCAGTTCCTAAATGAGCTTTTTTGTACTGCTTATCATGCCACTTTTGATCTCGTCGGTGGCTTCTGAGCTTCCTGGCCGTACGAAGACCGCGGCACTTGCCTGAAAAAGTCAAAAGAACCGCTCTATTTCCGCCGCAAATATGCGCCGACCCTATTTTCCACGTCTTCTAGGAAAGTAGCTCCCTTGGGCTACCAATTGGCAGGCATTACATCTTGGCCTGAAGGCCAAACAGCTGCCCGATGCCAAAATTTCCATCGAGACACCTTTAAAAGGTGTTTCTCGGGTACATTTGCCGAAGGAATGCGGCCCCACGGCGGGGTGAGGAGCAGCGACTGCCACTCAGGTCCCTTCAGTACGGAGCCCGGAGGCCTCTACGCTGCACGGGTCCTTCCTGCACCGGCCATGTGCTTACGGGAGCGCCGCTCCTCACCGACCCCTACTGGATCTCCACCCCTCGTCCAAGTCAACGATATGCCTCGACCCCCATCCCGGTCCCTGAGATCACTGCGTCCTCCCTTCGGCGCCCCCTCATAGCCTCCCGAGCCGACTCACCCATCCTGCCGGCACTAAGGGCCTACGCAAAAGAGAGAATCTGCACAGAAGGAGCCACAAGGCACCGCGGCAAGCCCCGCCCAGTCAAGGACCCCGCATGGCTGTCTGCGCAATGCCTGACCAGAGATAGCACCTCCGGTTTAAATACTACCCGTTTGCACCACTTACCAGACGACATAAACCAGAATCAGCATTTTATTTAATCTTCATGGAATTCGATGGTATCTACTTTACATTTTTATTTCTTTTCATGTGAATGCCGGAAAGAGAGGGAACACGAACTACCGCTCCCAGAACTCTTTGCTCGAGACCCTCTCTCAGGCGCTCTGGGCACACCCATAGGGGCGGGGCTTGGCTGGCGGAACCCGGAACGGGCGTTCGCGGCTGTGTGCGCGCGCCGCTTGGGTTCCTTCTGATGAGTGTGGGGAGTGAGACCTCTGCGCTTTAATTCACCCTCACAAGCTACCTAGTAACGTGAAGAGATTTTAGGCAGGCAAATGTGGTGTAGCAATGAAGAACTTTATGCCAGCCCTTAAACTTAAGAGCTGCTATTTACTGGTTGTGTGACCTTGGGCTACTTTCACGTAACTCTAGAAACCTGTGTGTCACGTAACATGAAGTAGATGTGAAGGTTTTCTGGACCTTCATTCCACGAATATTCTATAAAAACATCTCTGTGCAGAGCACCTGTTCTAGGCATTGGAGATAATAACAAGAAAGTGAAGGGTTCTCTTACAGATTATGTAATAGTCTAGATGTGAGGAGACAGTACAGTGTGAATAAAAATACAATTTTATACACTGATAAGTGCTTCAGAGAAAATATGATTAGTTAGGTGATAGTGGTTAGGGGGTGAGCTTGGCTACTCTGAATAGGGTGGTTTAAGAACACGTCCTGGCGAGATCCTAAAGATTGTAAAGAGACAGACAAGCATGACGTTCAGCCTTCAGGAAGAGAAATTCTCAGAATGGACTGTTGCTCTTCAGGAAGTGTAAGGCCAGGAAGAGGCGCTCAGGGAGTGAAGAACTGTTTGGTACTAAGATGAGATCTCAGAGGTGCATAGTGACAAATTGAACCTACAATCAATCCATGGTAAAAACAAAGTACTCTCCAGATGATTTAATGCTATTGGAAGTTTTGTTGCAGGAAAGTAACAAGATAGGGTTTTAGTTTTTCTAGGACAACTCTGGCTCTTGTTGTAAAGGCCAAAAACTGTAAAATGAATCCATCAGGCCAGTTGGGATTGTAGTCTAATAGTCCAGTTGAGAGATGATGGCTTGGGCTGTTAGTGTTCTACTTTGACCTCAACCCAGTGAAGAATGTGGTGTTGAGTAAAATGTGGAAGGAGGGTAAGATGAAGACTGTATTGTCTTTTGGATTTGGTGATGTGGACATTATTGGTGTTTTTGTTTAATGGGGATCCCTTGGAGGGTACAGATGTAAGTCTGGATTGGAACAATGAGAATTTGGGAGAGAAGGAATCATGAACAGTTACTACAGATAATTTTCACAAGGAATTTCTATATACTAATGAGTAAAGGACTAGCTCTGAAAGGCTTTTGTAGTGTCAGGATGGGTTGGTTTTAGATGACAGGTGTTCTGACTTCTTTTGCTGATGCAGATGTTCTAATATTGAACAAAAAGTGTATCCTTTATGAGGGAAAGAGGATAATTACACAGGAAAGTTCTTCTGTAGACTAGAATGATGCCCAAGTGGAGGAAATGACTTTTGCAATAAAAATAATTTATTTGTGGTATTAAGGAAGGTAGAATATAGAGAGGTATAGAGCTGCACGTGAATTGGAATATTTGTTGACAGAAAAATGTGGAACTTTTGACTTATTTTTCTCAATGTAGTAAGTAGCAAGAACATCAGTAAAGACAAAGGGCAAGGAACATCAGCTTGAGGAAAGTGAGTCGAATGAAATAATGATAGGAACACACACATTAAATAGTACTTACTCTATGCCAGATTCAATTTCAGGTAATTAACATTTAATAATTCATAACACTAAAATATAAATACTTTTATTGACCTCTTTTTACTGAGTTGTAGTCTTAGTCCATTCAGGCTGCTATAATAAAGTGCTGCAGAATGGGTGAGTTATAACCAACAGAAATTTATTTCCTATAGTTTTGGTGATTGGAAAGTTCAAGATCAAGGTGCTGACAGATTTGGTGTCTGGTGAGAGCCAACTTCCTGGTTCATGGATAGCTTTTTTTTTTTTTGGCTATAATCTCAAATGGCTCTCTTATTTATTGCCCCCCCCCCAGTTTTATTGATATGTATTTAACATATGTCTCTCTGTAAGGACACTAATTCCATTTATTAGGATTCTACTCTCATGACCTCATCACCTCCTACTAAAGTCCCACTTATTAAAACCCTCATATTGGGGGATTACATGTCAACGTGAGTTTTGCCTTCTAATCTAGAAATGTAGGAAAAAGTTGACAAGATGATGTGAAATTGTTGAAAGTTCTGAGGAGTCATTTGTAACTAGTCCTAAGGAGACATTAGTTAAACTGGTTTTGTAAAATCATTGAGATTTATTTAGTGTAGCAATTGAGTAGGTGGAGACCTGGGTTTTAGCAGTGTTGAGTGTGAAAACACAGGGAGTTAAATGATTGCAAAGAAAGGATTACATTGAATTATGATAGTGAAAATGGAGGAGTAAAGACCAGGAATAGAGAAGGTCTGAATGCTGCTCTGCAATCTATATGAAATCCTATAAATGTAAGTTATGAAGTATTAGTTAAAGTAGATAAATTAACTAGTGAATTAGAATGGAGAACCCAGCAAGAGACTCATGAATATAGAGTATTATTAAATAACAGAATTAGATCGCAAATCAAGGCATAAGGAAGAAACTAATAATAATAAAAAAAGACACCACCATTTAATAATAAAAAAAAAAGACACCACCATCAATGCAGGTCTAAATGGCAATGATATTTTAAACATCTTAATAGAAAATGGAAAATATTTCTAAACAAGATAAAAAGAAAACAAAATAAATTTAGCTAATTTAAGAACTTGTGTTTAACAAAGACCTGAAAGAAAGCAAAAAAAAAAAAAAAAAAAGTGACAAATTGAGTTCATGCCCACAGGAAGTGTTCATGTAACGATGGGATGATTTATTCCTTGAAAGTTTTGTAAAATGATTTGGATCTCGTGGTTTCTTGTTGGGAAGATTATTAACCACAGCCGAGATTTCTTTAATAGGGCCACGTATAGACCTGGGATTTCTTTTTAAGTCAGATCTGGTGAGTCATTTTCTAAAAGTTTGTCTATTTCAGTTAAGTTTTCAAAATTGTTGAAAGCTGTTATGATATGCAATTATGTGCATGTGTGTGCGTATATTGTTGTTGGAAAGTTTCTAACTTTGAATTCAAATTTTTTAGTAAATATAGTGCTACACAGATTATTTCTTCTTGAGTGAACTTTTGTTATGTTTGTCTTTTTCCATTTTATTTCAGTTGCCAATTGTGTGGACATAATGTAATTTGTAGCTTTGTAATAATGTAGCTTGCTTTATTGTATTTTGGTTTATTGCACTTTGTAGGTGTGCTTTTTACAGATTGAAATTTGTGACAGCCCATGTTTTTGATATTAGTTTTCCTTGTGTGTGTTCACTGTGTATCATGTGTCACATTTAGGAAATTGGCACAACTATCAAGCTTTTTACTATTATTAGATCTGTTAGGAGACCTTTGATGTTACTGTTGTAATTGTTTTGGAGTGTCACACACTGACTGCTGCACAGCTAGCCATTCCCAGTCTCTCTCTCTCTCCTTGGACTTCTGTCTTTGAGACATAACAGTAGTGAAATTAGGCCAGTTTATAACCTTACAAGGGCCTGTAAGTGTTCAAGGAAAGGGAAAAGTGGCATGTCTCTCTTCAATCTGTAGCTAGAAATGATTTACATTGGGTGAGGAAGGCAGATAATCTGAGACAGGTTGAAAGCTTCTTGTACTAGCCTATTTGTGAATGCAAAAGAAAAGTTCTTGAAGGAAATGAAAAGTGATCATCCAAATGATAAGAAAGAAAAACAACGTTATTGCTGATTCCTTAAGGGAATGCCTTAGATTAAGCCAAAACTTAATCTAGGCGAGGTTCTCACTTTCATCAGTTATGTGAAGTCTGAGAGGTAAGGAACCTGCAGAAGAATAGTTTGAAGCTAGCAGAGGTTTGTTCATGAATGTTAAGCAAAGAAGCCATCTCTAGAAGAAAACATCAGCAAGTGATGATGAAGAGGCTGCAACAAGTTATCCAGATCTAAGATAATTAATAGTTGGCTATACTAACAACAGATAGTCAGTGTAGCTCAAACATCCTTCTATTGGAATAAGATATAATTTAGGACTTTCATTACTAGAGATGAGAAGTCAATCCAGCTTTCAGACTTCAGAAAATAGGCTGAATCTCTTATTAGTAGCTAATGCAACTGGGGACAAAGTTGAAGCCAGTTCATTTGTCATTCTTAGGAATGTGCTAAGTCTATTGTGGCTTTGTTCTATAAATGGAATAACAAAGCTTAGATTATTATAGCACATGTGTGTCCAATGCGATTTATGGTGAATATTTAAATCCATTTTAAAGAACATTTATTCAGCAAAAAACCTTCAAAATATGACTGTCCATTTACAGTGAATCTGGTCACTCAAGAGTTCTAATGGAGATATGCCAAGAGATTTACATGGTATTAACACCTATTCGTGTAACATCTGTTTTGCAGCCCAGGGATCAAGTAGTAATGACTTTTAGGTGTTATTATTTACAGAGTCATTCTAGGTGACAATAGCTATCATAGATAGTGATTCCTCTAATCGATCTAGACAAAATCAATTGAAAACTTAGGAAACACCTTTCAACCATCGCATAGATGCCATCTCAACATTTGTGATCAGAGGAAGAGTGACCCTATTCTCTAGTATTTCCTTTCATGTAAAATTCAATTAGTATAACTCCTGATATCTCTGTCAGTTTACTCATTCTGTGCCAAGTGAGGAAGTGTAACATCTATGGTAAATTTAGAAAAATTAGTCTGGGTATATTCAGCTCTCCTTTTTGGAACCCACGATGCATGTGCTTTCCTGTTTCTTCTGGGCTAGCCTCTTTTTCCCTATCTAGAGACCAGGGCTTCCCTAAGAGGCTACCATGTCTGTCTTCTGCTGGTGGTGAGGAGGGGTTCAGTTCCAGTCTATTTTATTTTTGCACTGAGTTTTGGCCATTATCCTAATCTTTTGCAGTAATAAGATGATATTGTACCTAAGTTGACTTAGTCCATATGTAGGCCAGAAAGGTGTTATTATTTGACTTCTCTCAAAGCTCTACTGAAGAAAGATTGGTTTTCATGAACTAGACCAGCTGAAGAGAAGATTAGGTAAAGGGCTATACTGACTTTTTATACCATTTTGGGGAAAAGTTGTCTTTTTGGGAAGACAGCCAAGGCTTTTTACAAGGTTTACAATCGATATCAGAACATTCTGAATAGTTAGAAATGATTTCTAGTGTGCTAGCTATAGAACTTGAAGCAGCAGTTGCTATGGGAATGTGACAAGTTAGAATAAGTAAGGATGCAGAAGTAGTTAAGACTGATGATTGCATACTTTGTATAACTACTATTGATGAATGTTGAGTGCTTCGTTTTACCTGATTAAATTATTAAGCAGGTTTTTTTTTTCCTTTACCCAAAATGAATTCTAGCTACTTTTTGGTGCAGTGATTATTTCTTCTCACATCAATTCCAAGGTGGAACTAAAGAAACATGTTTATTGATATATAATCTTTCTAATATGCAGTTCTGATTTTTAAAATTTTGTTACTATTATTGAAACTCTGTGTTCTATAGATGTCTGTTAGACCCATAAGGTCTAGGGCCTTGTTTAGAGCTTTAGTATCCTTACTTATTTTTTATCTTGTTGATCTGTCCTTTGTAGAGTATAGTATTAAAGTCTCCTACTATGTATGTATTTTCTCTAAGTTTTCATAGATGACAGTAGTGTCCTGAAATATTTTGGTGCTCCTTTATTTGGTGTGTATATGTTGATGAGTGTCATGTCTTCTTGATGTATTGCCCCCATAATGTGGTGGCCATCCGTGTTTCTTTTAATCTTTTTTAGTTTGATGTCTATTTGATCTGATATAAGAATAGTTGTTCCTGCCTTTTTTTGGTCCATTTCTGTGTAGGATTGCTTTCCATCTTTTTATTTTCAATTTATTCTTTATCCTTTGTAGCTAGATCTGTTTCCTGGAGATAGCAAAAGATTGAGTTCTGTTTTTTTAATCCAGCCTGCAACTCTGTGTCTTTTTATTGATGAGTTTAAACCATTTACATTTAGAGTTATTATTGATACATTGGCACCTATATTTGCCATTTTGTTTGTCTTTTCATGCTTTTAGTCCTTGTTTTGATCTGTTCTTGTTCATACCTTTGTTGGTTTTGGCTTAAGGACGGCTTGTAGTATTTTTTGGAGTGGACGTTTTGTTGTGACAAAATTGTGGAGTTTCTGTTTGTCTGACAATGTCCTTACTCTTTCTTTATAGAGGAAGGAGAGCTTCTTGGGATAAAGTATTCTTGGTTGGCATTTGCTGTCTTGGAGTTTGTTGAATATGCCCTTCCACTTTTTTCTTGCCTGAAGTGTTTCTTTGGAGAAGTCTGACATCAGCCTGATTGGTTTTCCTTTATAGGTTATTTATTTCCTCCCTCTTGTCAATCTTATTACTTTTTCCTTGTCTTGAATTCTTTGTAGCTTTACTATTATGTCTCTTGCTTTATTTCCCCTTTCATTATGGTAGTTTGGTGCTTTCTTGCTTTTTGTATGTCTATTTTCATCTCCTCCTTTATACTTGAGAAGTTCTCTATAATTATCTCTGTGAATATTTTCTTGATTCCTTGGCCTTTCTCCTCATCTTCTGGGAGACCTATAACTCTGACATTTCCTTTCCTTGTGGTGTCAGATGAGTTTCTTTATTCCTATTCCTTTTTACTTCTCTTTCCTTTCTGTCTCTTATTTCTGTGTCTTTGGAGGGTGAAGATTCATTCTTCCATTTCATCTCTTCTGTTTTCACTGCTTTTCCCAGAATTCTTTATCTTCCCCAGCAGTCTTTTAATCTCCTACATTCCTTTTATTTCCTTTTAAGGTCTTGATTTCATTACTCAGTTAATTGATTATTTGTCTCATATAATTTTTTTTTCCTTTTCATCTTCTTTATGTTTGTTAATCATGATGATTCTAAAATCTCTGACAGGCTGAGTGGTTCTTCTATATCTTTGTTGATTTCTGGTGACTAATCTTTTTGTAGTGAAACTTTCCTCTGTGAGCTTGCTTAGGTATTTGCATTTTTTTCTTCTCTTCATTATTTCCTAATGCTTTCTACGAATTGAGACAGTGTTGCTAGTACTGGCCAGCATTTCTTCTGGGTGCTCCCTCTGGGTGGCCAAGGACTAATGACCAGACTAAGTCAAGGATTAACGCACCAATCCTTCACAAGGGTGATGGTGTTGTGATTATGGTAGTCAGTTTGAGTGATGTATCTGGTGACTTCTTCCCTCTGTGTTTCCACTAAGGTGGGAGCGCGTTGGTGAGATTCCTAGTTTGTGATTGTGATTGGGGGATGCATGTTCTTCGTGGTAGTAGTCACCTCAGTTGCCTAATTTCATTAGGGGGACACTCTGCTCCTGTTGTCAGTGGCCCTACCCCTGGCTTGGTTTCCAATTCAGATAAGGTACAATGCACTAGTAGTGCGGCTCTGATACTGCTCAACTTCTAGTTATGACTAGGTGCTGTGTGCTGCCCATTACTGCAGGGTATCCTTGTCTGTTCCAGTGAGTTGTAGCCATGCCCTGCTACTCTTCCAGCTAATGGCAGGGAGTTGAGTTCAGATTGTCACACCCTGCCGGGCACCCAAGGCCCCAGGGAGCCAAAGCACAGGGCTCCCAATTCAGGGCAGAGTCCTGCCTGTTTCAGCAGCAGATGCGCACCCTGGCCAAGGTTAATTGTGGGTATTGTACAGTGGCTGCTACTCCCTGCCTGGCCTCCACTACCAGAGAGTCACTACTCAAGGCAGGAGTGCTTCTGCTCTGGCTCTGGCTGTGTCAGGGGACCAGGGGACTCTGCCTTACCCTCAGTAGTGGCAAGAAGGCTGAGTCTTATCCTTCCTGCAGGTCTCATCTCCAAAGATCTTTAGTAGTCTTGCTAGCCTCCATGCAAATTGACCTGCTGACCTTTGTTTTTCCCTTGGGGTTTTCAGATGTTTCAGTTTTTCCCAGTTGCTTTCAGGTATTTTCCTCCTCCTTTTCTTTCCTTGGCCTAGGTGTCAGGGGTGTGAAGGTGGGAGAGGAGATCTGGTACTGGTCGATATTGCCCACTTGTTCTCTTTTTCTGTTGCTTTCACCTTCCTCCTGCTCCCCCTGGGTCACCAAACCTGTTCAAAACATCTGAGTCTTGGCTGGAGTTTGCTGCATTTCTCCCTTATTTACCAAATACAAGAGAGAACTTAATCCTAGGGACTCTTCATGGCCATCGTGAGTCATCCCAGTTTGCTCTTATTTTAAACAGTGGTGAAAAGTAAAAGGTATAGATGTCATCATTAAAAACAACATCATTTAGCATGTTTTACTTTAGTGAGTTAAAACTCTGATTCTTATCTCTCTATTGATGTGGGGACCTTGCAGATAAGTGCAGAGAGCACTTTTGAGTGTGATGGAAGCCTTATCCAGAGTTTGATATGCTCTTCCTAGCCCAGAAACCTCCCTTACCAATCAAAATGCCTCCATTATTATACTAAATTTATTATCTATGTAAAGGTTCTTTACTGAAGCTAATTGATACTTTATTAAGAATAAGAGCCAACTTACCAAAAGGATACTGGGGTAATTCACAGACCCAACAGCATGAGATGCATACTGGCCTCATGAAAGAGTAAAATCAGGAACTGTAAGACTACTTGAATTCTTCAAAAGAGTTATTTATGATTTGTCTCTTTAGCTATTATATACCTACCTCATTTTAGCCTTCATTTATTCAGTTATTGCCTGGAATGGAAGTGAGACCAGTCTCAGCAAAGGTCACTGATTTGCTAGGTAAAACATCCCAAAGGTACTTAGCAATTATATCTTCTCATTTCTGCACATCACTGGGCTGGGAGCTCCTTGGACTATGTACTATGTCATTAACTTATATTCTTGGCATCTTGTATTCATGCAAATGTTTATCTAATGGAAAGTTTTTGAAAGAGCAAGCCACTTGTCTCCGTTTAAGCCACACACACGCACGAAAGTACACACACACAATACTAATTTGGCACATTAGCCACGTTCTAAGAAGTCAAGGGGAAGTCAAGGGGAAATCTAAAGGAAGAAACATTAACATTTAAATCAAAAGCACTTAGAAGTATTTCATTTACTAACCTGATTCTAATCAGCTAAGAAGTTGATGAAAATTGGTAGAAATCATGGCAGCAATTAGATTCTGAACTTGATAGGGTCTGTATTAGTTTGAATTCTTCAGAGATAACCTTTCTTTCTCTCTCCACACCCATATTTATAACACCTATATCTATATAATGAGGATTTCCTATATGAAATTGATTCATGCAGTTAGGATAGCTGAGAAGTCCCAAGAGTTGCAGTCAGCAAGCTTGAGACTCAGGAAAGCCAACAGGATAGTTGTAGTCTTAGCTAAAGTCTAAGGCAGGAGAAAACCTCAGTCCCTGCTCTCAGATACTCATATCAGAAGGAGAATTCTTTCCTTTATTAGAACTTTTTATTCTGTTCAGATCTTCAGTGATTGGATAAGGCCTACCCACATAGGGAGGGAGGGAGCTGATCTTTGCCCATCCAACTAGTTCATAGATAAATCTCATTCAGAAACACCCTCAGAGACTCATCCAGGGCAATGTTTAGACAGACATCTGAGCATCTCATGGCCCAGTCAAGTTGATGCACACTAACCATTACAGAGTTACACTCCTCCCTTCATAAGGAGCACTACTTTAGATACATTATTTTGCTAATAAATGAAGGGGCTTAAGTTTTCTTTACTTGTATTTTCTTCCTTTTTTTTTTTTTTAAGATTTATTTATTCATGTAGAACTGGGGTACAGGCCAGAGATGTGGAGGGTGAGCAGATTCACCAGAGACAGAGAGGGGAGCAGAACAGGCAGATCGACCAAGTACACTGCTGAGGGGAGCAGCGGGCGGGTTAGGAGAGGTCTGCCTCTCCATGTGGATCTCCTCCAGGACAGGCAGGAATCGAACTCATGCGGAAGCGGCTTAAGCCTCTCAGTGCAGCGCTTTAACCCACTGTGCCACCAGGGAGGGCCCAGTGTATTTTCTTTAAAAAAAAAAAAAGATTTATTTATTTATTTATGCATACAGAACTGGGATACAAGCCAGAGTTCTGAGATCGAATGACTAATAACTGGCTGACCACACCCATAAAAGCACAATTCTATAGGATCAAATATGATAATGGGTTGATGTTTGGTATTTGCAGTAACATTTCATTTAGTAATTTATTGTATATCAGAAAATTAAGCAAACCCAAGGTACGTTCATTTGAAAAGCCAGCATGGATGAATAATTTCCTGTGTAAGGGGCATCACTGAAGGCAAACCTGTGTGCCTTTGCATTTCCACAGCAGATGCAAATGAGTGAGTTACTGACTTCTCTTCCTGGACTATCTTCAGAGTGTTTGTAGAGCAAACAGCTGTGAGAGGTAGAAAGTGTTTCTTCCGGGCAGGTTAGCTTATAGTCTTGGGAAGTCAAAGTTTCTCTCAAATGTAACTCTGTAAAGCATTCATTATCCATGTGATGCATCCTCCTGCAGGGTTCTTTGGGCAAGGGGAACTGACACAAAAACCAGTGCTCATGCTGGTTATTCTATGGTGAGTAAGAAATTCCTTGGCCTCTGATCCAGGAAACTTGTGTATCCTGTCTGCATGAAACTGGCAGTTTAACCTGTTAGTTTGCTAGTCTGAGGACCTTCACAGTTCTGGATAGATGCCTCAGCCTTCTGAGCAGGCAGGTACAGTGCCAGGGAGGTGATACCTAGTTCTTCACAGCCTACATGCTCTCATATTAACATTTTTTTTCCCACTGCTTTTCTCCTCCAAAGTCACAGGATGAGCTATTCTCAGACAATCACACCTTAAGTGTGACTTCTATTCTAAAATACACGTGTGAAACCTACTAGCAGCTAATTATTTTCCCTTAAGTATTCTTAACCAAATGGGGAAAAATTGCAGCAAAAAAAAGTTATATTAAATTTTAGCATCATCAAATTATAAAAAATACTAAAATGATATTCAATTTAAAATAAATCATTGTGTGTATATATATGTGCCTGAAAACATAACTGAAGCCTGTTTCAATGAAAGATTGTTACATGGTAAGCAACAGGGACTGGCACTATGTGTTCTGAGTGTTCACAGAATCATTATCACAGTACAGGATTGCCATGGGCTTGGCGCCCCATCTCCTGGCCAGGGATCTGAGCAGCAATATGATCTGACCCTGCTACTGCTGCTATGAAGTATTGACTGTGAAGTATTGCTCTGTCAGCTGGAGGAGGTGTTCTGCGTTGGCACTGTTCTGTACGGTGGCTACTAGTCACATGAGCCTTCTGAGAACTCGAAACTTTGCCTAGTCTGAATTGATGTGCACTGTCAGGGTATATTATACACCAGGTTTTAGAATTAGGACAAAAGGGAGTAACATATTTTAGTAATTGTTTAAACTATTGTTTGAAATACTATGTCAATAAATATATTAGCAAAATTACATTATTTAAAACATTTTTCTTTTGTGCTACTAGACAAGTTTAAATTATGTCTATGGAGCTGTCCTTATGCTTTTATTGAACCATCTGTTCTAGATCTTTGCACTGCAACAGACTTTCCCCAGGTGAGCCACGTCAGCATCATCTGGAAGCGTGTTCGAAACAAAGAATCTCATGCTTCACCCAGAATTACCAAATCAGGATTTGTATTTTAATGAAAACCCAGGTAATTTGTGTGCATGTTAAAATTTGAGTAACAGAGAATCTGTATGCTAATAATGCCAGATCAAGCAAACATAAATACTAAATGCCCAGTTAAATTTAGGTAAACAATAGATGATTTGTTTATTATCACTGTCCCAAATATTACATAAGACCTACATATATTAAAATTATTTGTAGTTTATCTGAATTTCTAATTTAACTGGGTGTCCTGTATTTCTGTTTTTAGAAAACTGCATACTATCAAGCACCTCTTGTCCAGACCTGTCTTGCTTTCGAAATTCCACAGAATCAGGAAAAGGACAGAAAGGTAAAAGGAGAGGTCAAGAGTAGTGGAAGAAAGGAAAGAAAAGGAATTAAAGGAAGTAGTAATAAGGGCATGAAAAGGTGACTTTAATGGCTGTGAGCATTTCTGATTTATAATTTTTTTTTAAAGATTTATTTATTTATTTATTTGTGCATACAGAACTGGGGTACAGGCCAGAGGCTCAGGGGCGGTGAGAGGCTTCACCAGAGACAGAGTGGGGAGCAGAACAGGCAGATTGACGAAGTACACTGCTGAGGGAAGCAGCGGGCGGGTCAGGAGAGGTCTGGCTCGCCATGTGGTCTCCTCCGGGGCAGGCGGCAGGCGGGAATCGAACTCATGCGGAAGTGGCTTCAGATTCTCACTGCTGTGCTTTAACCCGCTGCGCCACCAGGGAGGGCCTGATTTATAATTTTTATTGGCAACTTTCTTCCTCATTTCTGTATTCCCTCCTGCCCCTAGTTATTCCACCTTAACCTCTCATTTTCTATAGAGGATTAGGCTGTGCATATTAAACCAGAAGGAGAAAGACAAATACTGGGTGTTTTTACTCATATGTGAAAAGTAAAGACATAAAACATAGGTCAGACAGAAACAAATCACAAACAAGCCCTAGAAATCTGACTATAAAATTGAGGCTACCAGAGGGGAGGGTGGAATATGGAGAGAAAGTTTAGAGGGGCCTAGTGGACTGTGGTGAACTATGGGGGCTTTGTTGGTGGATGGTGAGCTGACACACATCTGAAGAGACATGACCCTGTGTTTCTGACCCTGCCTCTCAATCGCATACAATGCTGTGAACCACTGTTACTTCAAAGAGTTATGTGATAGTCTCAAAATAATACATATTTCTAAGAAATCGGCATAGAGATACTTTCTCCGAGGATCTGTTCTCTAATAATTTTTCATTGAAGTGAATAAACATTCTAGTAGACTCATGGGTATCACTCTGTATTCTAAATGAAGCTGTAAAGTAAAACCCTGTCTCCACCCTCCCTCACATGGAATCATCCTGGTGAAACTGGCCTTTTATTGGAGGAATGTGCTGTCACTCACAAGGCATGAAAAGGTACTGCGTCTGTAATGTTTGCATTTATGAATTAACAGATGTGCTTGGCTTGAAGAAACAGATTCATTTCTTGATGGGAAGAAAAATCTTGTTTAGTTTTTCACTTATATTTTTATGCATGGGATTTTCATTAACTTTGGACCAGATGCTTGCCAGGAAGAATTTAAGGTGAGTAATTTCACATCTTTTAAAGCAATGTATTCATGAATATAAGTACAAGTATGAAATTGAGTGATTCTGTAATTTCTTCATATTGTTATGTAGCTACATTTTGTTGACAATTCAAAATGGATACAATAGATTATTCCTTAGCTACTAAATTAATTGAACTAAAATTTATAAACAAGAGACAAAAATATAATCTGTATCATAAAAGGAAACAGGTATTTGTTCAAAGTACACAAGAAACCTTTGTATTATTCATGAAAGTATATTAATGAGAAAATGATTCCTAAAATCAGTATGCAGGGTTTTTTTTTAAAATATCTATCCTTACAAGTAATGTTGTTTTTACAGTTTCTCCTGCTGTTATTGTGAGAAGAGAATAATGAATGATTTTAAAACCTCAGACATATATAACATGCCCCCTAAGAAAATGTGTGAAATCATTTTCACTGACAGAAAATAGAAATAGTGTGGTACATTTCCTATTTAACATCAACAAAATTACTGTTTGTATTTCCTTTGTTCTTTTGGCTTATTTCGATTACATCTAAGATAACCTACAGACATTTACCTGTGAAGAATAATCAGAATCTGAATAGCAATGAATTGATGTCAACTCCCCCAGTTTCTCCTGATGTGCCATCTCAGCAAATGCATCCGAGATTTAGTGGGAGCACAAAGGATAGAGGCAAGTAGGGTGGTGGGCAGAAGCTTGTGTTCAAGAGTCTATAAAAACTGGGTGATAAAACTATAATTATCCACCCCCACCCCACACCCCACCCCATTGTTTCCAAATCAGTCATTTTCTTCTGGTTCACTTCCAAATAATAAGTGATCTAAACTTCCTCCTGTTTATACAGAAATGATTGCTTTGTACATCAAGAACTATAAAAATCCCATTACTGATTTTGAAGCAAGGTTAATGGGTTTAAATAATCTTAGCTTTAGAAGGGACCCTAGACACCACATGAATCAATGCTCATTTGAATTTAGTAATATGACATATCATTTCTTTATGAAGAAAGTTACATTGGTGTTTGGAGAATATTCTTTCAAATCACGGATCTAAAAATATTTTTCTGCTCTGTGGGATAATTTAGGTTCCTTTTTTTTTTATAACAGTTTATTTTACATTTTTACATTTTTTTCCCCATCTCAATTGTAGTCCCTGTGGGTTTCCCATCACCATAATCCCGTGCTAATTTAGGTTCTTATATCTCTAGAAGAGATGATTTTATTTTAAGTTTGGTATGATTTCTAAGTTCAGAAAGAGTCAGGGTAGCCACTTTTACATATTTCTTCCTCAATATTTTCTTCCTCAATTTAAACAAAAGGAGATATTTTCCCTTTCAGAACTTGTTCTTTATTAGTTTGTTCATGCAAATAAGGTTAAAAAAAAAAAAAAGGTTGTTGTAAATAACTAGGCACTGTGCTAGGGGCTGGATCTGCACTGGTCAGCAAATCAGTCATAGTTCATGTTGCCATGGAGTTTTAAGTCTAGTGAGGAAGGTGCTGATGAAACAAGTGATAGATATCATTATAAATAAACTTTGAAAAGTGCTACAAAGAAAAGAAGGGGAGTCTATGAGTGCATTTAAGAAGGGCACCTGAACTAGTCTGAGAAGTTAGACTAGTGATATTTTAGCTGTGAACTAGAGGATATGTGGGAAGTAAGTAGGAGGTAAGGAAAGAAGGAGAACATTGCAGGTGGAAGAAATTGCAGGCGATAAAAGTCATGAGAGAAGAAAAAAAGTGAACCATTCAGGGATCAGAAGAAGGTTCGTTCTGGAGCAGAGGAGAAGAGCTGAAACAAGAGCAATTAGTATACCAAACTATCTCAAAGTCTTGTAGGCAATGGAGAGAATGTGATCTTCACCCTGAGATGATTGCAAAAATCTGCCTTTAAATTGACAAGAGTAAATCATCTATGTATGCATGTTTGCGTATGTGTTTGTGTATGTGTATAACATGAAATACTTGAAAAATATATCATAATTTAGTCTTTTAATTACCAGAAATAATTTTTTGTTATTAAACCTCAGTGTCTAGCAACTGATTTGCACATGGACTTTCAATAATATTATTCAATGAATAAAGATTAGGGTTGATTAAATTTTGCATTCCTTAATTTCTTGAAGAAAACATATTACTTTTAATATCAGAAATTCACTATAAAAACATATAGTCTTTAAAAACTAAGCTTCTGCTCCTCTACTAACATGTAATATATTGAAATATCCTCCTTAACTTCATATAAAATCTGAATAGTAGATATGTTCAACATCTTTTTTACTTTTCTTTCTATTTTTTCTCCTAGTTTTATCTCTCGAAAATCTTCAAATAAAGAAGTGGTAATAAACAGTGGTAAGCCTTATGATTGCCCTCATGCTACCTTTGGGTTGGGAAGGGGCAGGCGTTTAAAGAGTTTGTCAGCCGTGGGCTTCCCTGAGCTCTGGTACTTACACTGGTGATGTCGCATGAAAATGTCTGACACTATGTATTCTAGATAATGCATCTAAAGAGGCTCAAGCCTGTTATATTTCACTCTGCTTACCATCACTGTCATTCAATTATATTAATAAAGCAATAGCATTTATTAACATAATTATATACCTTACAGATCAAGAGAATAACGGTGATATGAAACCAACCCAGAATTCTACGATGATACCTATCACACAGGTCACACAGGTATGGATTTGTTAATGAAACTAGATCTCATCTAAAATTTTTTTAACTTTTTTTAAAAAAAGGATCTCATGTAATCTAGGAAAGTGTATCTGTGGTACCTACCGTAAGTATCGTAATTATTATCAACTACTGAATTTTAACAGATCTAGAATAAGGAAATGATGTTAACTGCTGTTCCATGTGAGGTTGCTATTTTAGCCATGACAGTTAAGCAAGGTGGGGCAAAAGATAATATATACTGGCTAAGAGTAAAACTTGTGCTTATTCCGGCCCTCCCTGGTGGCGCAGCGGGTTAAAGCACAGTACTGAGAATCTGAAGCCACTTCCGCATGAGTTCGATTCCCGCCTGCAGCCTGCCCCGGAGGAGACCACATGGCGAGCCAGACCTCTCCTGGCCCGCCCGCTGCTCCCCTCAGCAGTGTACTTCGTAGATCTGCCTGTTCTGCTCCCCACTCTGTCTCTGGTGAAGCCTCTCACCGCCCCTGAGCCTCTGGCCTGTACCCCAGTTCTGTATGCACAAATAAATAAATAAATCTTAAAAAAAAAAAAAAAAAAAAAAAAAAAAACTTGTGCTTATTCCAAGAACACTAGATTAAATATAAGGAAATTTTAAAGAGTCTATAAACTATACCAGAAATAATGTATGAAAATAGAAATGTCATATAATATGTCATATCAAAAGCACTGTGAAAATGTAAGTAAGAATTCTTACTAATAATTAATATTCTTGCTTGAATTTTGGGTGGGAAATATATTGTGCTAGGGTTATAGTTGAGAAAAAGTCAAAATATTCAATTTTATGGTATTTTTCCTACCATATTCATTTTTAATCTCGTTGCTTTCCAGGCAGGTTCACTGTAGTTTATCTTCGGTTACTGGTGAACTTGGGTTGTTGCTACCATTTGGTTTTTCTTTTATCTGAATTTACACTAAAATGATTTAATCTAGCTAAGTAGATCTTCCAGATACATCCATGTCTTTGTGACTTCAGAAGACAAATTCTGAAGTACATTGTCTTAGGCTTCCTTGATGTTGCAAATACTCATAAGATATAAAGCAATGTTACATAAACTACCATGCTAATTTATGTTTATTAAGTGACTTAACCATTAGTCACATGTGGCTATTTACATTTAAATTCTAGTGAAATTATGTTAAGTAAAATTAAAAACTAGGCTCTGAGGAACTTCCAGTGTATAGCCACATGTAGTCAATTGCTATTGCATTGGGCAGTGCAAAACATATTCAGTATTAATGTTCTATTGGACATTAATGGTCTGGAAAATTTGCACTTGGTTTTTAGAAACTTCATGTTTTCTTTGTTTTATGTTAGTTTTATTTAAGACCCTACCTTATTTGAGTTCCTTATATTATTATCATCTAAAAAGATGACTGCCAATAGTTTCATGGTACAGTAAATTTTAAAAATAGGTTTTGTTTATTTAGCTTGACTTGTTTAACTTTATAGAAAAACTTGAGCAAAATAGTATAGAAAGTTCCCATATACCTTCTTAAGACCTCTTTTTTTCTAGTTTCCCCTGTTTAAAATCTTTCATAAGGAATGATATATTTGTTATAATTTATGAGCCAGTGTTGGTTGCTTACTAATAACTAAAGTCCAGAGTTTATTAGGGCTCATTCTTTGTGATGTAAATTTTAAGGGTTTTAACAAATATATATATATGATATGATATATACCCACCATTATAGTATCATATAGAATGATAGTTTCATGTCCCTAAAAATCTGCTATGTTCTACCTATTCATACCCCTTTTTTCAGAGAGGTGGCTTTTTAAAAAAATCTATGTTACTAATGTTATTTCTGAAGTTTTTATTTTTATTTGTTTTTTTATAATTTGATCTTTTTCATTTTTGGTGTGAAACTGGGTCATGTACCTTCCTGTCATTTTAAGCCTGTTGCGATCTGGTCCACACATCTTCTTTGTCCCACAATAGCATGAATTATGGAACTAGACAGATAAGAGTTGTAGGTGGGGTTTGAAGTGACATCCTTTACTTGCTAGAAAGCTGTTAGACCATGAAAACAAATTCATATTGTAAATTTCTGTTATTTGATTAATTAGGTCTTCAACTATAGTCTGAACAAACAAAGACATTTAGACAAAGAATCTTGGAATACATTCAGCCATCAAAACCCAGTTAATGTCTCCATTGATGGAATTCCCTGCATTCTCTTCTGGGCCAAAAGAATAACAATTAAATTTAAGAATCAGACCCAGCTGGACCTTACAGAAGAAGCTTTTGGCCAGAAGGCCATAGTGGATGCTGGCAACTCCAAGTGCAGTGAAGAAAGTGCCACGTAAGTTGACTATTCAACTGGAGGAAAGGTAACGTAGTGGAGGTCTGGTTTTCAGTGGGTTTAGAAAAAAAAAGCATGACCCTGATACACACCTATGAGGAAATACTTAATCTCTAACATGAAAGAATGAGTCAGAAAGTAATTTTTAAAAATATGTGTTTTTTTCCCAGCAGTTTTATTTTGAATACTTTAACTGTTATATTATTATTGTTAAAATGCTTATGGAAAAATCAGAGTTCTGAAAAATGAAGGCTACCAGACTCATTCTAAAAGAGAGAAAAGAATCCCAGGCTTGGAATGAACTTCAAATGTGAGGTGTCAGACTACCTTGTCCCACAGAGAGGAGATTCACTGAACAGACTCATCCATAACTCACAGAATACAAGAGCATGCTGACTCTGGCCATGGCTCATGTTTGATTCCAAGGCCTATAGTGATGATACATTGGCTGTTTGTAAATGTGTAAGGGTGCTTTCAGTGGACACATTTCAGAGAATTGTTTAGTAGGTTTCAAAATGATTAGATATAATTACTTTTGATTTGAGATAAGCAAAATAAACAAATAACCCTTTGTCGAGAAAATCCATTTCCAGTGCTTTTCTCTATTTCAGTCATCGAAGCAAACATTTTTTGCTTGTTTTTGTTTTGGTCCAGAGGGAAGAAGTCTGGCATGTCCCACTTGCTTTCTCCAAAGTTTCTTGTTTTCAACATTTGCTGGTGTTATGGAGACTTTGGAAAGATATTCTGCATTATTCTGACCTGCTTTAGATGGGCAGAATGTTTGTATAAATCATAACCATACTAAGTGTTTATGTGTATGTATTCTTTTTATATTTTATATACATCGGAAACACTTTTTTATTCCTGAACTTAACTTCTCCTTTAAGAATTCTTGATGATAGGTAAAGGTGTGTCATGCTAATATAAGGTTACAAGTCTAACTAAGTATCTTGCATTCAGTATGTCTAGCTCTTATTGTGGGATTAGGGAATGATAAGTATAAGCATCCAGAGTCCTCCCTTGCTTGTTTATTTTTTTACAGCAGGACCAGCAGACTCCAGTACTGCTGAGGGCTTAGCCCTCATGCTAATTAATTTCCTACAGGGTTCTTTATTTGTGGTCGCCTGGGGATAATCTGGCATATCAATGGCTGACTGACCCTCCTTGATTCCATTTAGACTTGCTTTAGGGTTTTTATGTGGAAGATCAGGATATCACCTCTTTTTGCTGGGTTTTAGAAACTTTAATGATCACTGAGGACTTAGGGACAGGAGTAGCAAACACTTGGCTTCTAGTTCAGTGACTTTACAAACATGGTCTGTAAGACCATCGCCTGTGAGATAAAAATGACTTTATCTGTTAACTAACTAATAAGCCTTGAGCATTTACCAGACCAGGTAGTGTGTGAGTACTTCACAAGCATAGTACTATCATTCCTCACAAAACAATAGTAAGTCCCTGAGTTGTAGGTATATTGTTATCATCTATGTTTCAGGTAAAGAAAGATCTAAGAGCTACCACTTAGAGTATCGGAAACTTGCCAAGGCCATTGAACTTGTGTGTTATTTGAGCCAGGGTCTACAGTGTCTTTTTACCACTCTCTCTTGTCCCAATCTCATAACATAGTGAAAAGCAAAGAGAAAAATGTAAATGTATGCATAAAAAAATTTGAGAACTGGGACTTCCCTGGTGCTATAGGCAGTTAAAATGCAGCACTATGAAGCTATCTAAAACCACTGCAGCATAAGTTTGATGCCGAGCCAGAGAGGTGGCCCACATGGAATGGCAGACCTCTCCTCTCTCACCTCAGGACTGTACTTCAGTAGATTTGCCTGTTCTGCTCCCTGGTCTGTTTCTGGTGGATCCTCTTGCCCACCCCCATCTCTGGCCTGCACCCAGCTTTTATGCATAAAATAAATAAATCTTTAAAATAAAAAAAAAAAAAACTTTGAGAACGTATCAAGTGCTATCTTCCTAACTAATCTTGCATTCCAGTGATAGAAGAAAATGCTGTGTTGTTGCTTGCTGGAGAGGTCTTTAGCTTTGGTTTTTACAATAGAATTGGCCAAATTGATCAAATGGATTTGAAATGTTAGGCTTCATACATAGGAGGCTTTTTTCAACCCTTTTTCTTCTTCAATCATCATGAAGATGGGATGAAGACCTTTATTATGACCCACTTAAGATTATCTTTTTTCTGATTTACTTTATTGTAAGGATATGGTACATAATACAAATAACATGTGAAATTTGCATTAAGTCACAGTTTATGTTATTGGACCTGGTCAGCAGCAGACTATTAGTAGTTAAGTTTGGGGAGGAGTCAAGCATTAGACATGGGCTTTCCACTGTGCAGGAGGTCAGAAATCTTCACCCCCAAGTTGTTCAAGAGTCGCTGCCCACTGGAATCTGGCTCTTTTTTTTTTTGGTACCACCCTAGAATTTTACTTGAGGCAAATCCTGCACGTGCATCCTCCTCCTCCTGGGGCCCTACTCGGGGGTCCTGGAGAGCCCACCCAGGGTGGTGAGCAGGCATCTCCCCAGCTGTGAAATATTTAATACCAGCTGCTAAAACGGTGTCACTGGTTCCTGTGAATCACATAGATTTGAGAGGCCTTTGTTCAACTGGCAAGGAAATCTTATGTTCTCATGAACCAGAAGGGAGTTACTGAAAGAACAAACCCGAGAGACATAACCATTTAAGGTCAAAAGCACAGATTAAAAAAAGATGACCATGTTTTAGTGTTTGGAAACAAAAATGTTCAGGAAAAGGCAAATTGTTGGCAGACAGATTTGCTACGGAAGTCTTTTTAAATAGCAAAAGCCCTACAAATAGAGCATAATCCTAGCATCTGGGATATATCTGTGTATATTTTGAATTTAGACAATTACAGTCTGAAGAATTCAGAATCTGTCCTAAACACGGGAGGGTAGGGCACTTGGAAGAGTGGACTATGGTCCAGGGCCTGGCACTTAAAATATTCTCACTGAATGGATAAATTTGCTTTGTTGAAATCAGGTCTCATTGTCATTGCTCTACAGCAGAGCAAACATAAACACGAATGTCACTAGAGAAGGCCTTGGAAGTGAGAGTGTGGAGGCCTTTAGTTGACTCCATCAGATAGCCACTGAGAGTAGAAGGCCCCTACCATGTAGTGCCAGTTTATGGTAATTGAGCTCTCTATTTTGATGGACTGTGGTGTTTCTGTTTTCTTAGGTTGTTTCTGAAGTTTGGTGATGCTGAAAATGCTAAAGGTCTAGCTCTAAGGTACGTATGGGGACCACTTTGGAGTCTCAGGGGAGCAGCAGATGGGATAAGCTCCATGTCATTTAGTCATGCAGCATGTATATGTCACGGACCTGCCATGTGCTAATTACTGCCTCACGAGATGCCATATGCACCTAATGACCCTGAGAAATCAGTAGTGTTATGATGGGAGCCTATAGTAATGTCTTCTTTAGTTTCTATCAAAGCATCTCCTGACTTAAAGGTATTTTCTGTGTAATTCCTGAAAATGAATCATACTTAAGCATCTAATAAAAATGAGAATATATATCTTTTAGCTGACTTCCCTAGCAAAAAAACAACACAAGCCTGTATTTTGTACATCTAGTTATGGAGGGATGATACATCTGCCAATGGTGACTTATCAAGCCAGTTAAGAGCTACTGTGATCGGGGGGAATGTGAAGGCATTGCATTATTTTTTCTTTTAAAAGTATGTTTTCCTTCCTAGAGGACCCACCTTTTAGTGAAGATAGGTAGCTGCATCTTTGACTTAACTTGGAAAACCAGTAGGGTGTGCTAGAGCAGTTTTTCCTAAGCTGTGTTCCCTGGAACACTTCTGCCCTGTGAAAACATTAATAAGATTCCTAAGAAAAGGGGTTCTGTACCCGTCACCCTCCTGCACACAGTCACAGTGTAAACCTGAATATTAGGTTTTCCGTGACGATGCTCTTAAGGAAGTTTGCTGCACTTGGTAACTTGGATTAACCTAGTGTATATGCTTGGAAAGCTCTCTCCCAAAACACTTTCCTGCATATCATGGGAGACTAGTTTGTCATAATTCTACAAATACATATCATCATTTTGCAGAAAGGTTTTAGTATGAAAACAGAATCCTGTAAGATAACCAAACATATATATATATGCACTTATATATATGTATATGTATATGTATATGTATATGTATATGTATATGTATATGTATATGTATATGTATATGTATATGTATATGTATATATATATATATATACACATATATATCTGTTTGATACAGAAATGGGAATTTTTTTAAAATTTAAATAATGCTTGTTCCCACAAAGAAAAATAGTTTAATGACTTTTGTGTTTTCTGATGATAAAGGGGTATGGCAGATCCTGTTAGTATCCTGATGATGTTCTGTTGGTGCTTTCATTTGAGATAACTATTATCCATCCATTTAACTTTCCACTGCCAGAGTTTCTTTGCCTAAAAATGCTCTTCATCCAGAGGGACCCAGTGCCTCCCATCTCTTCCCTAGTAGCCCTCCACCAGGGACTGAGAGAAGTGTATAACTAATTAGCCCAGCACCCTGTCCCTCATGTAAGGGAACTCAGAGTTAAGCTTTCTTCCCCGGCATGGGTTGGGATGAGTTCCTCATGACGCAAATCCCCACTAAGGTGGAATCAGTGGGCACTTGCCCTTTCTGACTTCCTTCTCTCCTCTATCATTTCTCTTCTTTCCCCCTTCCATATCTTAAAATGAGAAAATTCTGAAATACATTTAGGATTACCTTTCCAAAATGTACCTTATATTTATATCTTTGTCTCATTCTCTGCTAAGAGCCCAAACTACAAGATAATATATGTTCATTGAAATCAGAAAAAGTTGGTCTAAAAAAAAGAGGAAATAAATCTCATCCATAATTTGCACTTACTATTAGCGTTTTGATTAGCCTTCCAGATTTTTTCTATGCACTTATACCTGTTTCTTAAAAAATAATATATTTATATAGTAGTGATTTTGTGACTGAGAATATTCCATTCCAGAATGGCTAAGAGTGTCAGAGTGGCTTTGAAGCCCAGCTCTTACACTTCCTCTTTACATGAATCTGCACTTGTTGTTTACGTAACCACACTGTACTTTAGATTTCTCATCTTTCTCATGATATTGTAGTAAAGATAACAGAAAAATCCACATAGGCTCATAAATCAATGCTTGATACATAGTAAGAGCTAGTCATTCTGACCATTTAGTTAACTCTATATTGATACCCAATTAAAACTTTCTCATTTTTTTTGCAACAATCAAAGTGTTAATGCCAAAAACAAGGCCAAACTTTTTGCGTTTTTTCCTTTCTTAGAAGTCTTGCTCTATTTTTGGGGCTGCCCTCTCACTTGCCTTGTAGCTTCGCAACAGGAGGCTCCTGTGAGGAACCAGAAAACTGAAAACCTCTCTTGCCACTAGTTCTACCACCCAACAAAAGAGGGCGCAATTGTACCGTTCATAGGTCCGTAGAGTAAGTCCTGTGTCAGCAAATGGAAAAGTGCTTGCGGGGGGTAATACGGTTTTATAATTATTTTCAGATTCACCCTTACCAATTACAACAAGCTGACCATCCAGAGCTGGTTTAGTTTGAACCACGTTGAGATTATTTTCAATAATTCCATCCAAGCAACTTTTAATGCAACTGGCGTATATGCTCCTGCAAGTTATTCCTACCACTGCCATCGGGTCAGCAACCTGCAGCGCTACGATGCCTTCTTGTTGCCCAGCGACGTGGATGAAATGTTAAGCCTGTGGGAGGTCACTTTTGTTGATTTCCAGGTAAAAAACTAAACATATACGCTATGCATCTGCCTATTTGGTGCTAAAGAACCTGTGTTTCTCTGAGAACACCTAAGATGGAAACAAAGTTGTTTAAGGAAAACAGAGTGAGAACTTCCAAAGTAATATTGTTATATTTTTATCTTCTAAGGTATGAAATGGAAGAGGCTGTCCCCACACAGGCCCAGCCCGTCCTTCCCAAGGACTTGCTTTTACATCCATGTCTTTCTAGTCATTAATAATTATCAGTGAAGAGTGCTTCAATGCAAGCCAGGGTAAAGCTGTGGCATGAAGCCCAGTGACTGACACTTCCCGAATGAGAGGCCGTTCCAGGAAGAGGAATTGCTGGACAATTATTTTATTTCCTTCAGGGAACAGAGCTGTGATCCTATGAGGCAGATAAGATGTACCTCTGTAGTGTGACTGACAGCTTTGGCAGTTAGTGTAGGAAAAGAACTGTCAGCCAGGGAGTGGAAAATATCCCTAAGATCCTCTTGAAAGTATTTGGGGAAAGGCATGGGGTCCTAAGAGGTTACTTGTCACCACCAGAATTTTAGGCTGAGAGACATCTGTCAAGTACCTCTGTTGTGTTTACCTGTGAGAGAAGCTTAATTTGTTCTTTTGACTCACTGAATAGCAGTGGATTTACCATTGCTAAACTTTTGCATTTCCAAGGGTATTGCATGCCCCTTTTGTGGGCACTTGCCAACCTTTTCTATATATAAACAGAAGTTCATATATATAAATTACATATACACACACACATACATATACACTATATATATTTAAAACTTCTCCCAGCCCACCCCCAAATTTGGCAAGGTATGATGTTTTTGAGAGGCAGTTTGGTATCATGTAGAAGCCCAGTAGATCTGACTTTACTTTTCAGCTACTTGGCATAGTGATTATTCAACAAATTAAACATAGAATTACCATGTAATTCAGCAATTCTGCTTCTGGTTACATGCCTAAAATAATTGTATACCCATGGTCATAGCAGCATTCATCACAATAGCCAAAATGTGGAAACAACTCAGATGTCTCATGAAGAATGAATTAATATCTAAGGAGAAAGAAATTCAAATACAGGCAATGACATGAGTGATCTTGAGGATATTAAGTTGAGTGAAATAAGCCAGGCACTGAAGGACAAATGTTTATATGATTCCACTTAGTGAGGTAGCTAGAATGTCAAATTTGGAGATAGAAAGTAGAATTGAGGTATTTAGGGGCTGGAAGAGAGGGAGATGTGAATTCCAGTTGAATTAAATTTACTGTACAGAGCATCAGTTTTGCAAGAAGAACAGAGTTTTGGAGATGGAGGTAGTTGTATAATTATGTACTTAATGCTACTGAACTGAACACATAAAATGGTTAAGCTGGTAAGTTTTACGTTATATCTACTTTAGAATAAGAAATATATATAACAAAGACATAGAAGAGAAGAAAAACAAAGGAAGACAAGATCAGTCAGAGCCATCAATGAGGTCAGTCACTACACAAGCTCTGAGACCATCATATCTGCCTTGGCTAGAGGGGTACAGTGACATTCAGGCTGTGAAGGTGTGGAGCAGCCAGCATAAGAATCATTTAGTTATGTGTTCACCCACGGGATAACTGAACATGTGCTTGTGTGGAGCACAATATCCATTCCTGGTGCTGGACAATACGTGCCGAAAACCTCACCAGCATCCTCACCAGGAAATGCAGCACTAGATGTCAGAGATGGGTTTTGTTAAAACACCCTGCATGTAAGCAGACAGCAGAATGCCATTCCAGGGAAGAGGTGGAGGTGGTGGTCATAGCAGTTGAAGGATATATATCAAAGGCTGCATTCTGCTGATCTGGCTCTTTATGGGACCAAAGTATAGAGAAATATGGCAAGTATGGCAAACTCAGAAACCTTCAGTAATGCTCAACTGCCTCAAGTAGGTCATCTGGAGGCTGTGGCAAAGTGTGACCACATCACAAGCATTTTTTTATTAAACTAGTTTTCGCTTTGAAGGAATGTAAGCCCAGGGATACAGGAGCTTCTGACTTTTCAGTAGATGCTAGAAATCTGAATTCCTATTGGAAATTTTCAGGATGTTCGAAAACTGGGTCAAACAAAACTTCCCTGTTGTTTAGATATAGTGTGTTTATAACCACTCATCAGAAGAAGAGCAGACAGCATGTCTTCCAGGCATTCTGCCAATGGTCCTCAATCATGTCCTACTACAAGCTATAACAACATGAAGATGTTCTCTTTGGCTTGGAGTTGCAGCATCATGTGAGGCCATCTTTGCTCAAGAGGTGCTTGACTCCTCAGGCACTTGGCAAAGAGAAGAATGATTTGTCCTTTCACAGAGGGGCCAGGTCAAGAATCCAAGAAGCCAGGCCAGGCGTCTCCTTTAGAAGCTATTTGAATTCATTCTAAATCACAGACAATTGAGTGAACAAGGTCCTTAAGGGCTGTCTATGGTGGGGGGCTACAATCATTTTCACAGGGAAAAATGCTTAAATGCTCACGTAAGTCATTAAAATGAGTTCTCAGTAAAATGCTCATGATTCAATTTTCTGATTAAAACTAACTAGGTGACTGGAGAGGTGATGCTATCTAGGTTTATGCCTAAAAGCCAGCATAAGGGGCTGCATCCCACTAATGATTATTCTCTTTTTTGAATAGCTGTTTGACCTGCTGCTTTCATTTTGACAATATTCAGATATTGAGGTCAGTTGTTAATTTGAAGCTCTCCTAATTCCAAGTAAATTAAATCACTTCATTTGCACTGATGAGAGAAAGTTTTTCTTTTATATGCTAGGCAAGATCAAGGAGGGACTAGTATAGCTTTCCCCAAAATAGTACCAAGTCTGGAGGGTATAACTGATGAAGAGGTAGTAATGAGAACAGGAAGAGTTATGGAGCCCTCAGCTGAAAAGTGACTCTGAAGCAGACTCAGATTGGGTTTGTTAATAGATTTACTACATCTAAAACTGTGTGACAATTGGCAAGTTTCTTAGCTTTTCTGTGCATTTGTTTCTTCATCAATAAGATCATGATAAAATAATAAGTCACAGACACTTGTGAGTATTAAATAAGAGTATCTGGTACATAAAAATATCTTTAGTAAGTGTTAGCTATTATTATCTATATTTGATTTTGTTGGGAACCATGATATCTTCCTCTCTGTCTTATTCCTGTCAACAGAATCAGAAGCAGAGAAACTAAACATACATTTCTTTGTAAAATTTATACTAACACTTATAAAATTGAGTACTGAATACAAAATTAACTTCTAGAGATACTACAGCAGTTGTAGTTTTAGATGAGTGGAATATTCTGAAGGATCAGATTCAAAGAAGTTTTATTTCAAACTTGAATTTATGAGCCCCTTAATTATGACAACTGTACATCCCTGGGTTGCTAAACTTACGTAAAATTAACTTTCACTGTCCCAGTAAACACACTCACATTTGCTAGGTCATGTGTTTAAATTATGTGTTCAAATATGGCCACATATCTTAAAATAGTTGGCTAAGTAGAGATGCAGAACCCCCAACCCAACTGGGAAGTTCTCAGGGCAGAATGACGATGTCACTGCAGTTCTTTCAGCACTTTCTTTTTCCTGCCAGATCCAAGGCTTTACCATCAAGGGAGGACAATTTGCCAAGGTGCGAGACTGTGCCTCTTCCTTCTCACCAGCCATCCTGATAGGCCTGGCAATGTCCCTGATCCTGCTGCTGGTGCTTGCCTACGCCCTGCACATGCTTATCTACCTGCGCTATCTGGACCGGCACTATGACTTCATTGGCTCTCCTGCCCACTTCCCCCAGTTGAAAGCTCAGGATGCAGCAGAAGAGAAGGAGCTGCTGAGGAGTCAGGGAGTTGAATGCTATGAACTGAGAAACCAACAGATCTGCAAAATTTATGTTTAACAGCACCGGCCCCTTCCCTACAGTAAGTCCCTAATGGGTCCTGAAAGGAGCTGCTTCTGTTCTGTGCCATTTGACTTGTGATAAATGCCATTTTAATCAAAGGTTTGATTGAAAAAAACAAAAAAAGGAACCACATGATAAATTGCTTTTGAAGCATCCACTGGCTTACTCAGAAGTGGGGCAATAAAAAAAGATGTTTCAATAATTCTACAGAGATAAATCACAGTTGTTTTCCCAAAGCTACCTTGAGATGCTTTAGGATGCTTTATGTTAGGGAATGCTAACATAAAGGGATGCTTTATGTTAGGGAAACCTAACAAACACAGAACTATAATATAAGAGAATGAAAGAAAATTCACTTGCCTTGCCTGTGCTAGTTTGGTAAGTGTCAAAAAAAAAAAAAAACCAAAACAAACAAACAAAAACAACCCAAGGTTATCTGGAAGTTCAGAATTGAAAAAATTTTGTGACATAATTTACATTTTTCAGAAATTATGTCCCAGCTTTTTTTTTTTATTATAACAATTTATTTTTACATCATTTTGTGCCTTTTTCCATCTCAGTTGTTGTAATCCCCGTGGACTTACTATCACCAAATCACCTGTGTGCCATCACCATAGTCCCGTGCACACCCCCTCTACCCATTTTTGATCCCATTCCCTACTCCACCCCCATGAAAGGTCTCTAGTATATAGTTGTTCATTATTATTATTCACCCTCCCCCCCCCCCGGTCCTTTATGCTTCTGCTATGAGTGAAACCATCCAGTATTTTTCTTTTTCTTTCTGGCTTATTTCACTAAGCGTGATCCCTTCCAGCTCCATCCATGTTGCTGCAAAAGGCATGAGTTTATCTTTTTGATTGCTGAGTAATATTCCATTGTATATATGTACCATATCTTTTTAATCCAGTCATCTACTTTTGTCTGGGCTTTGTTTTTTTTTTTTTTTTTTTTTTTTTTTTTAAAGATTTATTTATTTGTGCATACAGAACTGGGTATAGGCCAGAAATGCAGGGGTAGTGAGAGGATTCATCAGACACAGAGTGGGGAGCAGAACAGGCAGATTGACGAAGTACACTGCTGAGGGGAGCAGTGGGCGGGTCAGGAGAGGTCTGCTGTGCCATGTGGTCACCTCTGGGGCGGGTGAGGTTCGAACTCATAGCTTCTCAGTGTTGTGCTTTAACCCTCTGCGCCACCAGGGAGGGTCGCCTGGGCTTTGTTTTTTAAAAAATAGTCTTTTATTATTTCTTCATAGAACTGTTAATGGAAGACTCCTATTAATATGATACAACTCTTTAGTTAAGGATTTTCTGTTACTTTGCTGTTCAGAGGCAGCCCATTTCAGTCTGTGAAGATAGGCAGTATCTTACATCTCCCTTCTAGATGTGGCCCCCAAATTAGACTCAGTTATCTGCGTTAGACTGACATTAGCTCTCTGAGGTACCTCATGAAATAACAATTAATCTAAATAAGAGCAGTGTACTTGCTGTGTAAGCTAAGCTAATTCCCCTCCCAATGAGATAGTGTCCCTGAAACTCCTATTTGGTAGAAATTCTAGAAGCACCACTAATTTTTTTTCAGTTAAAAATGAGTTTTACTAAGTACTTTATATTTAGGCTTTTTTTAAAAAAAAATAATATAGTTTATTTTTACATCATTTTGTGCCTTTTTTCCATCTCAGTTGTAATCCCCGTGGGCTTCCCATCACCAAATCACCCATGTAAACACCACTAATTTTTCCATCCCTTTCTTCCATGTGAATTTCCCTATAATCCTTTTCATTTTTTTGGCAGCTCCTCATTAAAGCTTCTCTAGTATGTCTTCTTTGTCAATGAGACTTATGAGTAAAAAGTGCTTTGCATTTCTTTAACCAAGTTTCCTTATATGACCTTGTTCTACTGAGAAGATACCCTTACACAAAACCTAGATAGCAGATGGGAACATGAGTGGGCGGGGGTGGGGTGGGGAGGGATGGTCATGTCCAGAGAGTTTGGATTTTGTGGGCAGCTTGGTGCTGGGGCTGCAGTCTAGTTTCATCTCAGATGGTACTCAAGTAGTAAATGACTGTGACTATGTTTCAATAGAATGGTGTCATGTTGGATATTTCTTTTGAATTCATTATTTTGGCTATGACTGTAGGTTTGGCCCTTTCAAAATTCTGTAAACTCTTAATATTCTGTAGTGAATTTCTTTCTGTTTTATACTTGGAGTAGATTCTATAGTCTGTACTTACTAGGACCAACGATGGTTTCAGGGAACAAACCCTCGAGAAATGGGAATCTAAGATTACTTATCTGACTGTGGCTTTCAATTAGTGGGGACTCTGTTTGGTATTAGAGAATAGGAGATTGATAGCCCATGTTATTTCATAATGAGACAGATTTTCATTGTGGTTGCCTTAAGTGGTCACTGGTGATATAAATGATTGTTGTGATAAGCTGTGGTACATGAAGAATAAACATAATTTATCATTTAAATTGAGACACTTTTGAAAGTGAAATGGAGTATAGTTAACAAATTTACGATAATAGATATAAATAGGATGGTGCCAGGCAAACTGGGAAATATAGTCACCTTGGATTGGATGGTATTATATAGAGTTGGCTGACTCTTAAGAATGGTAGTGGAAGGCTTACAGAAAGATACTAATAGCTCAGCACTTCAAAAAAATTTTTTTATTTATTTATGCATACAGAACTTGTGTACAGGCCAGAGGTATAAGGGTGGTGAGAGGATTCACCAGAGACAGAGTTGGGAGCAGAACAGGCAGAGCAACAAAGTACACTACTGATGGGGGCAGAGGGTGAGACAAGAGAGGTCTGCTGTACCATGTGGATCACCTCCGGGGCTGGGAATTGAACTCACACTGAAGTGCCTGCTAGCTTGCAGTGCTGTTCTTTAACCCACCGATCCTAATAGCATAGGACTTTAAATGCACAGCTCAAGGCATGATCAGAGATGCAGGGAATCTTTAAACCAGATTTATAATAATTTTTTACATTTTGTCAGAGGGTTAGCTTAGTTGAAAACAGACTTAGGTACAAACATGCCAGTTGGTAACTATATTGCTGGTGGAATTCACACTTCTACTAGATCTCTTACATGAACACGAGAACATTGATTGCAAAATACCAAGATGGGGGTGGTAACTTTGACGAGTATGTAAACAATAAGGTTGTCAAAACCTCAAATTCCATGAGGGTTTTTGGCTTGCAAAAGCAAGCCCTGTGAGATGAAACTGCCCCTGACCTGCTTAGAGACCTGGTGATAATTTCACCGGAGATAATTCTCTTGCCATTGGGTGTCATTTTCCTCAATGCCTGTTGACAAGTAGAGTTACCTTCTACCATGTTGCAGGAAACTGTCACAAATAACTGTCTTTTTGCATCATTCTAGTAAGTTCTGATCTTCATTTAAGGAAATTACATTATTCCAATGGATTCCTTTATCATTAACTCAATAGATAATGATTATTGCCCTGCTATTGTTAGTGCTGCAAGAGCAGAGACTAAGATGTCTGGCTTCCTGGAAGGTCTGCAGTGGTACAGCAGAGAGTGATGTTTGGTGTGAGTAAGAGTTGACCAAGTAGGAAAAATGGAGAAGGACAAACGTGGTAGAAATAAGCAAAGACTGGACTTTGTCATGTGTGAAAAACTATGAATTCAGGTATGTGAGCAGATATACACAATATATTTAGAGGAATGAAGAGAGAAAAAGATGAAAATGGAGACAGGTAACAGATAATTGTGCTCAATTAAAGGATTAGAATCTTGACTTGAGAAAATAGAGATGCCCTTGAGAAGGTTTTGGAGGATTTTAAGCAAGATGATTACATTGTTGACAAGTATGAGTAGAATAGAGACTGAAGTGCCAGTTAGGAAGTTATTTCAGTAGTTCAGCAAAGGAAAAAGTAGAACCTACATTAGCACAGTCAAATGGAGCTAGAAGAGGTGTTTGTTTGGGAGGTAGATTCAGTTAGACTTGGCAACCAAGTCTACCTGTCACAAATGACAGGTATTTATTTGGGGTGCTGGGTGAATGGTGTTGCTAGTCTCTGCAATCAGGGAGACACAGATGATGATAGGGTTGGAGGGGAGATGGGAGATTCCTGTAGGTAGGTTCAGTAGTAGAGTTCTAAATAGGCAGTTGGATGTATGAATCTGGGGTGAAGTAGAGAGAACTGGACTAGAAATTAAAATTTGAAAATGAAGTAGATGCTGTCAGTGTCCCATTCATCTTCCTCTGCATCTTACCATTTCAGTACACTCTGGCTTATCTTTCCATTACTTATAACTCTTTTCAGGGGCTGCTACCCCTGTGTTTATGGAAGGCTGAGAGTGCTGAGAACTAATGTCCCCTGGGAGTAGCCCTTACCTGATGACTCTTAGGAGTTGAGTATAAAGACCCCCAGCTCATTTATTCCTTGACTGCGTAATTCTAAAGTGTGTTTTACACCACTTCCTGAGGCCCTCCAATAAGACTAAGCTCCTTTACCCATTGTGCTATTTTCCTTGATAATGTTTACTTTGTTAACTTCTCTTCAAAGTCTTAGTTTCCTGTTCTCCTAATTACATCATGTTCAGAATAAACTGCTTATTCTCAACCTAGTGTCAGGAAACTCAAGCTAAAAGGAACAATAATTGGCACAGGGAGAATTTGAATACTAGATGGTGGTAGTGATGCATAAGTGAAAATTACCCAAGGAGAAGTAATAGGCTTATGCTAACCCCTGAGAAACATCATCATTTGTGGAGTAGGATGAGAAAAAGAAATCTGTAAAGAAGCTAGTAAATAAGAGAAGGAAGAAGGTAAATCAAGGAAAGAAGAGTATCTTAGAAATCAGAGGGGAAAAGGCTTTCACAATGGAAGGAATAGTTAATCATGTCAAATGCTGGAGAGATTTCAAGTAAGAAAAAAAGTAGAAAGAGGTTATTACTTGAACTTGACTAATATAATGATACTGAAGAGCATAACACTTTGTGGAAAAAGGAGAGTTCAGGATACCTATTCCTGTAGTTACTATCACTTCTCTGAAGGGCATTCTCAAGATGCCCTCTTCCACATGACTCTTTCCTTTTGGGTTTCAGTGTTTTGCTCAGAGATGGGAACATATTACTGGATGTTAGTTCCAGGATATTGTACTGACCCTTGTGGCTCTTTCATACCCTACTGGGACCTTCAAAAGGGCCCTTTGTAAATAAATCTTCCTTGAAATGTCCAGTTTTGAAGCTTCATGCCTCCTATTGGGGATCAGGCTTATATAGGTTAGTCAGATTAAAATTTATTTGTTGCTTTGTTTTAGATTTATCAATTTATCAGAAGATTTAAAAACAGCTACTTTAGAGGTTATGACTTGTGTTGTTTTTTGCCTGCTGCAATATTATGAACAGTTAAGTTTATGTGTGTAATACACACCATTGAAACACTCATGCAATGTTATACAGTGCATGCAGTTTTCAGGGCTCTACAGCAT